ACAATTACCAGATTAGCCACCTTATTCTTCTACAAAATCGCGGTTGAGAAGTCCTTTACACCTTTCCTGTTCAGAGCAATAAAAGGATTCAGATTGTCGGAGTTGATCAATTGAACCAAATAACAAAGACAAAAAAGAGATTGAGCGAGAAAAGAAAAAGGAGAAAAACAGAACTGCGATCCATATCAAGTATAGCAGATCTAAGTTCCGAGTGAGATATATCCAAATAATTCCACCTCCTTCCCATTACTACAATTTCCGAATAAGCTAAACAAAGCTATAAATTCAACAATGATATTATTCCAGCAACAACATTGAAAACACAACTCGAATAAACGAACACGGAGGATAAAAATTCAACTAAAATACTCTAATTTCATCGAGGGGAATGCAACGAAAAGATTATACGAACCTCCAGCAGGAAAAAATAGAGAAGAGCTCTTCACAGATCTGACTGAGACCTCGAGAAAGGGAATTTTGTAGGAAAGTGTTTACATAAGTTCTATCAAGTAAATAAATGTTGAAATCCCTTTTACTTTAACACTCTTCACCACAATAAAAAAACATACTCTTAGAGACCAAAATTAACTTACGACCAATCGTTATTCAACTTACAGACAATCGAACCGAAATAGCTCTACCTCAGTTTCACACCCCATCAAAATTTTCCAAACAAATAAGGCACGTGAGCAGAATGCTGATTTAAACAAAATAACAATACCTTCATACGAATAGCAGTTTACCAAAACGTTCAAACTCCCCAACACGCACCTTTCACACAACAATGACAATTGTTCTCATGATATTCAAGCATTTCTGAATAACTTAGAATATGGCCTCAACACTTATTGCAAATATGAAAATCACAGTTCCCGGCTGTAATGCGTTGCGAAATTAACAACAGATAAGAAAAGTTTGATATTTTTGAATTTACCGAGATGAACTAAGCAGGCCCCAGAGAGAATTAGCATATTGATGGGGGTGAGTGAACGATAGAGAAGATGGGAAATTCACTCGTGAATGAAAATCTTAAGGCGCTGCAAGTAAAGATGCATTTTTGTAAATTTCATGTCATCTAACAATTGCCTTTTCAAACCATCCGCCACCTGCAAATGCAAACACACCAGCAGATAACATTACACAATAGAAAATAAAATAACAATTAAAGTTTCGACCGAAACTTGTAAAGCTTCAGCTATGCCATTAACCTTGGGTATGGACTGATCATTGTGGGACTACTTTCAGTGTCTCCGAGTGGTGAAAAGCACTGTGATTGCTTTTTCAAGCAAACCAACGCGCGGAATCTGAAGCACCACGTGGTTACAGCTAGTTCTTTTTTAAAACGTTCTCAGCATCTGATGATCAACAAAAATAGATTTTTATATCTAACAGTATGACAAGTAAGTCCCTATAGCATTCCCCGCAAATAATATCATAAGCCACTAATATACTAAACGAAAATATAGTCAAGCTCACCTCACCAAATATCCATTGGCAGTGTGAACATTATCATTAATTAGAGATGTTTAATGGGCACATAGACTCCGTCACGTTCATCCGTGTCACATTCATCCGCCTGTGCTGAAGAGTACCGAGGCCGTCAACCAGATCCACAAGTATCTCAATGACTCCAATCAGGCCTTAATCGTCTTCGCCTCTAAAGTCCAGCGCTCTACATTATCTTGAATATCAACACAAACAAATAACAAATACAAAATAAATGATCGGAAAACTGAAGTGAAAAAAAAAAGACTCAACATAAACCAATTTAGTGAACCTCAATCGTTAAAATCCACCTCACAACTGCACCTTGCTGGAACCATCCACCTTGTTAAACTCCTGGATGTTGTAGTTCGCAAGGGTGCGACCATACACCACGGATGGTTGGACGACGTGGGTCTGTGAACTGGTCCAGTAGCTTGACTGCGTTCTGGGTCTCATGGACAGGCTGAGCTGCTGGAGGTCAAGTTAGAAAGATCGAGAACAACAAAAATCGTCAATTTCGAAAGCACAAGCGACAACTGTCTGCCAGAACCGAAGTTCGACAGGTTCAGGTATACCTTAACAATAGAACCAAAAGTTCATCTTGGGCAACACTTTGTAATAATTAGTCAATTCCCTTGGATCCATAACTACAACCAAAATAATGGAAAACAACATATACTCACTGTATGCCACTGCATATGAGGCAAACAAATGTCCAGAAATTTGTGCACACATACTGAGGACCCTGCAACCAGAAAACATATCGATTCAAACCAAAAGAAGAAGCTTACCCGATACGCATTTACGGAAAGACAAAACGAAAACAGAACGCAAAATTACCAAGCTGTTGCAGTTGATACATCTGCGATTAGGCGGGAGCTTCATTAGACCCCTAATAATCTTTTCATTTTTTTCTTCTTCTCTTTTGCTGCTCATTTTCGAAATTCTCAGCTCGAAACAAGGAATCAAGCAATTTCCCCCAAAATTATGCAAGACGAAGACGATGATGGCTACAGATTTGATGGGCTCTTGAGCTTTGAATTCGAGTGAGAGAGAGGGCTAATCGATGGACAAAAGCTAGGGTTTTAGATTTATTTATTTAATTAATTCTCAAAAAAAAAAATGGATTTGTACAAACGAGCTCTCTCTCTCCCCTCTCTCTCTCTCTCTACTTTCAGAGGGTTTCGAATTTGGCAACAATGATTATGCTCGTCATTGTTGTGGCCGTTAAAAAAGGCTAACGCCAGTCAACATCATGCCGTGGTCTGTTTTGGTTTACTCGTGTGTTGGACTGGAATGACGGAAACAGACCTGGCAGTAGCACATTTTCCGTGTAGTGTTAATTGCTTATACAAAACACAATAATTTGTGTGACAACCATACTTTATGAAAAAAAAAAGGTATATTTATAATATTAAATATCATATTTTCCATACTTTGTTTATGATAAATGTAAAGTATGATATTTTTTAATAAAAGTATGTATATTTATGAAAGTAGTATAAAAGCTAATATTTTTTAAAATTCATGTAAAATTACAAATGTCACGATTTTTTTGTAAATTACATTCTTGTCAGAATTTTTTGGCATTCTTGTCATGGATTTTTTTTTTTTTTTTTTTTT